TTACAGAACAAATAGTTTCTCATTAAACAGTAGTACACATATTGTTTTATGACATTGGTTAACAACCCCACGACATGTCAACTCTCTCCTTTCTCGACCTTTTTTTTTTTTTGGTGAAAATATACATAGCCAAAGATACACCATTTCAAAAATTTCTATGTGCACGGTTCAGTGACATCAGTTACGCTCTTCCAATGGTGCTGCTATTCTCACTTTAGATGAAGGTTTACAGAACAAAATAGTTTCTCATTAAACAGTTAGTACACATGTTGCCTTGTGACAATGGTTAACAACGTCCCTACACATCAACACTTCCTTACTCAACCTTGGGTTCCCTATCGCTAGCTTTCCTGTCCCCTTCTGCCTTCTAGCCCTTGTCCCTGGACTGCTGTGCCTCATTAGTCCTGTTTTGTTTTATGGGGCTGCCCAATCCCTGGTTGAACGGTGAACCTCAGAAGTGACTTCACCACTGAGCTAAAAGAGTGTCTGGGGGCCATACTCTCGGGCTTTCTCCAGTCTCCTTTAGGCCAGGAAATCTGGACTTTTTTTGTTTGTGTTAGAATTTTGTTCTACATCCTTCTCCAGCTCTGTCCAGAACTCTCTGTTGTGATCCAGGTCAGAGCAGTCAGTGGTGGTAGCCGGGCACCATCTAGCTGTACTGGACTCCATCTGGTGGAGGCCTTGGTAGCTGTGGTCCATTAGTCCTTTGGACTAATCTTTTGCTTGTATCCTGTTCTCTTCATTCTCCCTTGCTCCGAAAGAGATGAGACCAGTGGAGTATCTTAGATGGCTGCTCACAGGCTTTTAAGACCCCCAGACGCTACTCACCAAGGTAGAATGTAGAACATTGTCTTTATAAACTGTGTTATGCCAACTGAGCTAGATGTTCCCCGAGACCATGGCGGTGGAGGGGGGGGTTGCTATTTTTAAAGGTTTGTCAGGGTAAGGCCTCACTGAGAAGGTGATATTTGAGCAAAGGAAAGACTGAGGGACGTGAGAGAACATTTCATGGGGATGTCCAAGAAAAAGTGTTTTGACCAGAGGGAACAGCAGGTACAAAGGAAGAGAAAGTGTGGCTGAGATGGAGTAAGTGAGGAGAGTTGTAGTAGGAGGTGAAACCAGAGTTAAGGGGTGAGACTGGCCTGGTTGCTTAGGATCTTAAAACTCATTGCAAGGACTGGCTTTTTCTCTGCATGGGATGGGAAGTCATGGGAACATTTTGAAAGAGGAGTGACGTGAACTGTCTTAGGTGTCAAAAGGGCCACCTTGGCTGCTGTATGGAGAATACAGCTTTGTGGGTAAATGGCACTCCCTGGTATGTACTTGCCTCCCCACCTCAGGCAGCAAGGAAGAGCGGTCCATACTTTCTGACTCTGCTTCCTTGTTCCCTTACCACTGCATGAAACTGTTAATTCCAGATCACTGGTAAACTATTTACTAAATGCAGTGAGTGTGTGGAAAACCACAAATAGGTGTAGGAGAGTAAGTTGAAGGAAGAATTAAGGTGAAAGTTGATGACATGGTTACATGGCATCAGGTGAGCAGCCCACATAGTCCCCCAGATATATGCATCAGTATGCATTGATGGTCACGTCCAGGGCTAAGTTCTCCTTCCATGAGTGTACTCATGCTCAGGCCCAAGCCCAGCAGTGATCCTGTAGGTGAAATGTCCACAGAAAGTCTAGCTGCATGGTAGCTCATACTGGAGCTACCAGCTGAGAAAGCATGTTGAACTCTAGCTGGCTGCCTTAACTCCTGTGTTCTCTTCTTCCACACCTTCTCAGTTTCACACACAAACCTTTCTACCACACCAGGAACTCGGGACCAAATGCATGTAGATCACCAAAGGCCTGAGGATGGGTTGTTCTGAGACCGCAGGACCTTGTCATTTCAGGAATCAGTGACCTTCAAGGATGTGGCTGTGTACTTCACCCAGAAGGAATGGGCCAGCCTGGTACCTGCTCAGAAGGCCTTGTACAGGGATGTGATGCTGGAGAACTATGAGGCTGTGGCCTTCCTAGGTAAGACCTCTCTGCTGCTGGTCTCTGCCTGGGTCTTTACAGGCTGGAGGGGTCTCTTATAATTAGTAACTGAGTGGTGGCTTCTGGGGTTTGAACCCTAAGTGGCTCAAGCTTGGAATTTTCAAGTGTGGAGAGATAGCCTTGCTTTCCCACCTGCCTTGCAGATGATCCTGTAGGCACAGCAGGAGTTGAGCTTAGCTATCTCATCTTTTAAATTACGTTGGGGGAACCTCAGCCTCCTTGTCTCCCACTGGTGGCTTCTTGTAGTAGCCATCTGTCTGTTTCCTGATGGGAATTTTCCACCCTCTAACAAAGAAGGTAAGAAATCTTGTTTCCCCTTAAATAAAGATCTGCCTCCCAGTGTGTCTCAGACTTCCTGTGGGCACTATCCTGAGGCTACTCCCTAGGTTCCCTGCACCTTCCTGGGTACCCACTGCACAGCCCATCCAAGAATTACTCTCCTCACCTCCTTTGCTGTGCTTGCACCCACGGACTGAAACCGACGTCGGTGACTCTGCTCATCATTGTGTTTTGTTTTCTTCCCTTCAAGCAGTGTCACCCGCTTCCAAACCAGCTCTGATCTCTCAGCTGGAGCAAGGGGAAGAGCCAGGGTTCAGCCAGCCACAGGGAGCCCTAAGCAGGAGGGGCAGGAGAGCAGGCCTCACAGGTGAGTTAAACAAGGGGTACCCTTTCCTTGCCAGCTTGGCCTCTTCATCAGTATGAGAGACGTGCTCTCTTTGCCTAGCATCATGGAATTCACTGGGATACTGTCGCACCCTTTTTAACTGGTCTTTTACTCATTGCTTCCCATCCCTTTAAGCTATTGTACATAACACCCTGCTTCCTCATTTCCCACACTGAGATGCTTTTTTATCCATGAAGATATTTGAAGGAAAATGTTCTAAATGCTAGCTTGATATTTGTTTTCACTTCTCTTCAGTTCAACTCATTTTCCAAAATAGGTATTATGAATAGGAAAGAGAGAAAATTTATTATTATTTTTTCTTCTTATTTTGTTTTTGGAGATGAGAGACATAATGACATTTTACTCCTAAAAACTTCGGGACACACACATAAAACATGGGAATATTTTCTTATATACCTAAAATAATAATGTTATATATAGTAAAATTAACAATAATTTCTTAATATTATCCAGTACCGGGTCTATACTCAGATACCTTTATTTGTTCCCAGAATATCCTTTTACTTGGTTTGTTGACTTTAGAATCACATGTTACGACTGTTTCCTTAAGTCTTTTTTTTTTTGTTCCAGAAACAGTCTCTTTTTCAAGATACTGACTTGGTGAAGAGACCAAGTTATTTGTTCCACTTTCTGGGTTTTTTTCTGATAGTTTCTGTGTAATTTCATTTAGTCTGGTTCCTTCCGTATTTTCTTAAACTGAAAGTTAGTTAGATAATTCCTAATAAGATTTAAAGTAGACATTTTTGACCACATGACATCAAATGTGATATTGTGTATTGCATCACATTAGGATATATGTGATACCTGGTTGTCCATGTGTGATGACAAGATTGACAACTGGAATACGGAGGGGACAGCCTAATCCCTCGTTGTCAATTTAGGTTTGTCCTTGGGAGACCAGAGAGATCCTGTGGCATTATGAGACTGTCAAGTTCCTGGTCGGTCATTCACTTACTGATGTTAACACCGACTGATAATTCTTTCCTGAATCCACTCATTTCATTAGGGGTTGCACAGTGATGATTTTCTAGTTCTGTCTTTCCTTCTAAACTTATTGGCAGATATTATTCTGTAAACCAGACCATTTTGTCAGCAATTACTTCTAAAAAGGCAGGATGAATAATTAATTCTTTCCCTTTAATTAATAATGTTGGGTAAGGAGTTGATTTAATAGCAGCCTCAAATGATAATGAATACTTTTTTTTGCCTTTATCTGTTTTGAGTATCATTTTGGATTAATGGTTTTTTATAGATTGAATAATACCTCCCTAATAAGGTTATTAAAATTAAATAACATAACCCATATACTTGGCATGTAGTGCGTGCTAAGTAATTACTTGCTATTTGTTTACATTTCCAGCCCGTGTGGGTCTGCTTTCCTTGTAATGGGCTCCACTGCTCTTTGTCCTCTGTCTTACTGGTTTGTCCTCAGCCCCTGTGGAGTTTCCATTTTCTGCTGATGCTTCTCAGCTAGAGAAAGGGGGAAGAACCTTCAGTCTGGATCTTCAGGGTAGTTTCTCCAGAGAGGCTGTGGGGGACATCCATGATTGTGAGTGCCAGGAAGCTGGTTACTTGCCTCCCTCCATGACATACAGTCTTGTTGTCAGAGAACTGGCTTTTATTGTAGTTCTGAGACTTTTCCTAGTTAGCTGGTCTCTATAGGAGTAAAGACTCTCCAGAAATGCAGATTAATTTTGTCAGTAGGATTTGGCTCATTACCCTTTCTTGGAGTGTATTGTTCTTGGCAAAGTTAATCTGGGCCCATTCTGTTAGAGGAACACCTTTTAAGTTTCAGTGTGCATAAGACTCACCTTGAACACTTTTCACATGCAAACTTAGGGCTCTTCTAGAATTTCAGATTCAAGAGGCCTCAGGTAAGGCCAGGGAATTTGTATTTTTTGCAGCATATCGCAGGTGATTCTAATGGATGGTACAAGGGAACACTTTGAGAAATACAGCCTTGAGCCAAACTGCAGTGACAAAATGGCAAAACTGTAGTTACCTTACAGTTTACCATTAGTTAGTCACCATGGGTGGCAGGTTTGATCTGCGTTCCCTTGTCCCAAGGTTGTTTTCTCTAATTTTGTATGTAACTTACGTTTATAAATAATTTGAAAGCTTCTGAGCTTGCACATTCATCATATACTCCTAACATGGAATATCCAATTACTTCATTTTATTTTTTGTTTGATAGTTGATTAATTAATGGGAGTCTCACTTAATTTTATCCTCACTTATTTTCTTTCTTCTTAATTGTCAATCTTCTTACTAATGGATTAGTCTATTCACTTTCCTATTCTTTTTTCAGACCATTCCCAATATCAAATGTTTCATTATCAACAATGTTACCCTTTCTAATCAGCCATAATTATCTTGTCTCCTTTGCATCTTTGATCACAAGACTAGATGTAACCCTTTTCCCTATTGGGTCTCAGGACTTTTCCTGTCTTTCTTTATTCCGTATACTCTGTGAAACCAATTTGTAAACATACAAAAGCTGTGTACTCACAAGACACAGCTGTATCCTTGATGATTCAGTTGCATCTCAGACATTGCTAAGATGTGATATTTGTTATTTCTCCTCAGGTTCTAAAGTCAGGGTTGAAAATGAGCTTTTGACCTCAAATCAAGACATTACTGAGAACAGCAAATCCCATGGCTTGGCTTCAGAGGAGTATCTAAGAGACCTTTCCCAGAGACACAATTTTCAAGTTACTTCTGAATCAGAGAGCAAGATAGAAAGGAATTCAGGAAATCTCATGGAGGACACATTGACGAAAAATAAGACAGATTCAGTGAAGGAGAGAGTAAACAGTGAGAAAATTCATAAAGAAAATAAATGTCATCCACACAAGAAATCAGAGAAAAATGTTGATGTCAGTTCTTACCATGTAACACATCTGCAATTTCCAGGTGAAGAGGTTTCCTACAAGTGTGATACTCGTGGCAAACATTTCAGTCGCAATTTAGACTTTTCTCAACACCGCAGAATCCACACTGGAGAAAAGCCCTATGAGTGTAAGGATTGTGGCAAAGCCTTTACCTTGAACTCTACTTTTGTTCAGCACCAAAGGATCCACACTGGAGAGCGACCCTACACGTGCAAAGAATGTGGCAAGGCCTTTAGCTGCAGCTCCTACCTCACTGCACACCGCCGAGTCCACACTGGAGAGAAACCTTTCAAGTGCAAGGACTGCAGCAAGGCTTTTAGTCAGAAAATTACCGTTATTCGGCATCAGAGGACACACACTGGAGAGAAACCCTATACGTGTAAGGAATGTGGTGAAGCTTTCAAACTGAACTCACAGCTCACTTACCATCAAATGTTGCACACTGGGGAAAGTCCCTACCAATGTAAGGAGTGTGGGAAAGGTTTCACTTGGAACTCACAACTCCTCCGGCACCAGAAAATTCACTCTAGAGAGAAAGCTTATCAGTGTAAGGAGTGTGGGAAGGCCTTCAAGCAGAAAGCCAGGTTGAGTCAACATCAACGGGTCCACCCTTGTTGGAAAGCCCGTGAATGTAAAGACTGTGGGAAGATCTTCAACAAGATTTCAGGACTGAAGCGGCACCAGAGGCTACATATTAGAGAAAAGGATTGTAGGAAAATCTTCATTGAGAACTCAGATGTCATTTGCCATCAGAGAACTGATCCTGGAGAGAAACATTCAAATGTAATTGTTGGTCTGTGTGTCCCCCAAGTGCAAGTTAGCAGGCCTGCCCCTTCTTGGCCTGATTCTCCCAACCCGGCTATACCTGCTGCCCCTTCCCAGAGTGCTCACTGTGCTCCTGCTGGTCCTCTCTGCTCACTGTCTGCACCACAGACCATTCCACTTCCTACCTCTGAACCTTTGCTTTTTCTCCTCCCCCAGATGCCCTCTCCTCTTCTCTCCCCCTTTCTTTGACCCTATCTTACCTTAAGGCCTTGTGAAGCTTGCCTCTTTGATGCTACCTTTCTCATTATACCTCCTTCATCCCTGAAGATTTTCTTAAAGACAGCCTTATTCTATTTACAGCTCATTTATGTGCTGGATTTTGTTGTTTTTATTTTTATTTTATTTTTTTCTCTCCACTTGACCCAGTGTCATTTCTAACTCTGCATTTGCAAGCTTCTCCAGAGCAGGATAGGTCAGGAAGGTGGAATATCCCCAATGTATTAAAATAAGGAAGAAAAGTATTGCATATTCTCTCAATTTCTATTGATGTAACTATGATTTACTATTTACTGTTGATTAGGAATCTACTTTGTTTGATTTACTGTCTACTATTGGTGTAACAAGGAGCTCTGGTGGTGTGGTGGTTAAGCACTTAGCTGCTAACTGAAAGGTCAGCCATTCGAACCCACCAGCCTCTCCGCGGGAAAAGAATGTGGCAGCCTGCTTCCATAAAGGTAACCTTGGAAACCCTATGGGTCAGTTCTCCTCTGCCCTATAGGGTTACTATGAGTTGGGATCGACTCAATGGCAACGGGTTATTGGTATAACTCTGTTAAGTAACATCTTAACTTTTAGATTTTTGTCCTTTAAAGATGCAGATGGTTTCTGAATGGATAGTAAAGATAACCACAAAGATTATGGTTCTATTGACCTATAAGAAATTAACCAGTTTTTTTTTTCTAACTTAAAACAATAAAGAGAGAACTTATTTCATTATTCTTTCCTGACCTGCCTGTTCTGTAAATGCTCCCTGAACCAGTTTTACCATGTTACTCTTTCCTCATTAAGGAGTTAAGTAAAATTTTGACATGTATCATTTCTGTTTGTATTCAAATACAAAAAAGGGTCATATTTTTTAACTTTTTTAAAAATACTTTGACAATTTTGGATGTTGCTTACTGAGATGGCCAACTGGACTCACTTGCCAGAGACAAACTGTTGCTGTTCCTCATGTGCTATTTAAACCCAGGCATGTCTTTTCTCGGCTCCTGTAGAAAATCCCAAGTTGCACAAGAACTTTATCTTTGTTGATTCACTGTTTTTCTGCAATTTTTTTTATTTTTATTTTGTTACTGGCTCTTGGTCACAACAATGTTTAATTCCACATGGCCAGCACCTTGATTGCAGTCCTCTGAGAGACTCTGAACTGAAGACTCAGTCCATGCTTGGACTTCTGACCCACAGAAACTATGAGGTAATAAATGTATGCCGTTTTAAACAACTAAATTTGTGGTCATTTGTTACACAGCCATAGGTAACTAAAGTACTTCTCTCTAGCCACAATACATGGGTCCAGGAATCAGGGGAAGGAGGTGGGAGTTGTTCCGCTCACTCACTATTAAACCTAATAACACACTCATAGAATTTTTGCTTCCACTGCCAGCAGCTTTGAACTCTGCTGGCTTGGAGATCTTAGTCCCCAAATGAAGAATGATGCTTCTGCTAGGGGACACATGATGGGTTCCATTGATTTGGGAGATGAGTACTACCTGGCCATTTTACCACTGAACCAACAGGAAAATAAAAGGGGGCTTAATCTACTGGCTGGAGGGATTAATCCTGATTACCAAGGGTAAATTGGATTGCTGCTGCACAATGGAAGCAAACAGGACTATGTCTAGAATGCAGGGATTCTCTGGGGTGCCTCTTAGTACTTCCATAAAAATACCAGACCAAACCCATTGCTGTTGAGTCAGTTTTGACTCATAGTGACCCTATAGGACAGGGTAGAACTGCCCCATAGGGTTTCCAAGGAGCGCCTGGTGGTTTCGAACTGCCAACTTTTTTTGGTTATCACTCGTAGTTCTTAACCACTATGCCACCAAGGTTTCCGAAGAGACCACCTGTAGGTGGGAAATCCGCAGGCAGGGGTTGGGCGGCAACAGGCTAGTGCTTCCAAGGGGAGGAAGGCTTATGCAGGCTCCGCTTCTCATTGGCTCGGCTGGGCCCTGCCCCTCACCTGGTATTCAAAGGAATGAAGGGCCCGGCTTCTTGCTGCCTCCTTAGACTCCGCCTCCTAACCCTGATCAGTTGGAGAATGAGTCACAGTTCAGTTGCCTTGACTCAGAAGGAAGCTGCTGGGAGGAAGACAAGAGCAGGGCTTCCAACCAGCTCACTCGGCTGGACCCCCTGCTGAGAACTTGCTCTTCCACCCCTCCCCCCCAAAAAAACAAACCCGTTGCCATCGAGTGCATTCTGACTTATAGCGACCCCAGATATACTGAATCAGAATCTACACTTTAACAAGATCCCCAGATGATTCTTTATATATATATATATATATATATATATATATATAAAAATATGTAAATAAGCCCTGGACAAGAGCGTGTTTCGCCCACTCGCCCTTGTCTTCAGGCTTGCCTTGCAGGAACTAGAAAGAGAGAACCACCGAGAAGTGAGGTCCTCCAATATTGCTAGAGTAAATACCAGGGAAGCGATGGGTCGGATGGGCGTGTAATGACGTACTTCCGGCGCGGCCATTGTGACTCTTAACGCCTGAGAGTTCGATTTGTGAGGGGCGGTTTGTGGTGCCTACAGTCTCTGTTCGCTGAAAAGCTGCAGAGGCCGCCTGAGCCCACGGTGAGCGGCTCTGGCTTGGACCGGGAAGAACGAGACAGGGCTGCAGGGGAGGAGGGCACGACCACTGCTGCCCTGGGACCCTCAGCCCGACCCCCGGCTCGCCTCGAACGTTTGAGAGGGGGCGCTGCTAGGCCTGGTGCACTGGTCGCTGGCTCCCGCCCCCTTGTTTCCCTTCGCCAGGCCAGCCCACGGCCTATTCAGGCTCGGGAAGGGACACAGATTCAAGGGTTGACACAGAATTACTCATAAACTTTTAACTATCCGCCGGGCCACTGTAGCATCAGAGAACACGCCCCTCAGTTGCCCCACCCCTCTCGTCCTAGCCACAGCTGCGGAGACCCTAGCCCCACCCCTGAGTATGAGTACAGCTAAACGCCTTTTCTCTTTTTTAGGTAGCCCCAGGAAGTCAGTTTGTGTTCAGTTTATTCACCTTAGAAGCTTATGGCTGTTTGTAAAACAGCCTAAGTTTTCAGAATACTGAAATGTTTGTTTTCTAGCCCCAGAATGGAGCCTATTTAGTCCACAAGTTGGAGAATGTGGAGCTCTGAGATTTGAATTGGCTCACATGAATGTTTAATTGTAAATCTCATGCCAGGTCATATCTGTCAAGCACCCTATGTGTCCAATGTTTTAGCATATAATTTCCTCTGTATAGTGTTAGAGATAGGGAAAGAATTCTTGATCTAGCTCTCTTAAAGTCTTCATTTCACTTATTCTTTATTACCCCGTTGTCATAACATTGGGTCAATCTTATTAAGTACCCACTGTAAGGGACATTTATCACAAGGATCCGAAAGCATCACGATTTAAGAGAGAGTACACAACTACAAGAGGTACATATTTACTCAGTATGAATCACTGTTTCTGTTACGCTTGAACAGAAGCCATCCGTGAATTTAGCAGCATTACTTGTGTAGATTTACACTGTGTTTTCTTTTAAAGTCTTTCTGTTTACACTTAAAACTACTGTTACTCCTTATTAGAATCCCCCTAACTGCCAAGTTGTGGTTTCTAGTCTCTCCTGACAACTCTGTTGCCCTGACAGCCTCAGCTTCCCCTGCCTTCCTGGATTCACTAAGGGTCAACAGAGTGAGGAGTAGTCTTTTTTTCTGATGCTGTTGTAGTTCCCTGAGACTTAACAGCAAACTGCAGAAATGAAACTTGAAATTGAAACTCTTTAAGGTCTACAAGTACAAACACTTTTTATGCTGATTGAGTATCTGATCTCACTCATGGCAGCTATTTGTATTTCAGGTGTTGCCTTTTAATGAGTATACCTTGCTGATTCACTCTTTTGAATGGCAGAAGGCCTGCTTCCTAATGATGAACTTAGTTAACTGACCCCAGTGGTAGTTGGAACTAGTTGAGAAGTGAGATTGATTTGCTTCTCCCATTATATTTGGAACTTGGAGTATTTGGGACAAATCATGAAATCAGTGGGTTCACGTAATATAGTAGTGTTTTTCTTCTCACCACTACTCCCCAATGCTTACAAAATGAACATCTTATGATAAAACTTTGTATTTAGAGGGAAAAAATAGTAATAGGTAATTAAGACCAAGATAGTCCTAATAAATTATTTTCAAATTTCATTTTGGCTTTATTACTTCAAGTCATAGAAACTCCTACACAAATATGTAACATAGGAGGAAAACGAAATGCTTAGGTCTTAACAGTATTTGATGGATTCCTTGTATACAATTCATTTATACCTGTATTTTATGGATTCTAGGGAATCTTCCTTAACTGTTTCATGCTCCAATGTTCTTTTCAGTCCATAATCTACCCTAGTTTCCTTTTCTGTCTCTTCTCTGGATTACTGAAAATTACAGGTTTCTCAGTTCACCTTCTTAGCTCTTACTAGATTCATTCCTGGGATGATCTCTGCTTGCATTCCCCTATTTAATCTCTGTGAGCCTGAAGGTGACACTGATATAAGCAATAACTGAAGAATGGTAGTTCTTGTAGACTTCAAAACAGGATGGGTCAGAGGTTATATGCAGGAGTTATGGTCAGTGGAGTTTGGTCACTAATGTTTCCTTCTTTACCTTCAGCTCCAAGAAAGGAATAAAGAAGGTCAGATGATGACAACTGTGTCCTCAGCAACCAGACCCCCGGTGAGCTGGGTTTCCTCTGCCTTCTGTAGACCTAAGTTAAGCCAGTGCAAGCACTTCAATGAACCAGTACCTGAAGCTAAAGATGTAGTGGTCTGTATTAACCAGCAGGTTTTATATACACATATTTATGCACGTGTGCATGTGTGTGTATGTATTTATATAAATAATATATAATATAGATGAATATGGAGTCCCTCGGGGCACAAACAGTTAAGGGCTCTACTACAAGCTGAAAGGTGGGCAGTTCCAATCCACCCAGAGGCACCTTGGAAAATGGGCCCGGTGATTTGCTTCTGAAAGATCACAGCCTTGAAAACTCTATGAAGCAGTTTGTCTCTGCACCCATGGGGTCGCCATGAGTCAAAATTGACTTAGAGGCAACAAACAACAACAACACATATGAATATATACGTATGCATATATTACAAATCTTAAATATATCAATTAATTTTATAAATATGTACACCTGTATAAATATCACCCATATCAAGACGAAACATCATCACCCCAAAAGGCCCCCTCATGCCTCTTTGCAGGACTACCCCCCAAAGTTGACTACTATTCTGACCTCTTTCACTGTAGCTTAGTTTTGTCTGTTCTTGAACTGCATATAAGTGGAATCATTCAATATGTACTCTTTTGTATGTGCCTTCTTTAGCTCAACATTATGCTATGTCTGTGAGCATCACTCATGTTATGGCACGTAGCAGTGGTCTGTTCTTTTTCATTGCTGAGCAGTTTTCCATTATATGATTATACCACATTTTATTTATTCATTCTGTGGGTGGACATTTTGTTTTTAGTTTTTGACTATATGAGTAAGAATACAGTGAACATTCTAGTAGCTGCCTTTTGGTGGCCATACACACGCATTTCTCTTGGGTATATCTCTAGGAGTGAAATTGCTAGACCTCCAGGGTATGCATTTGGGTAGTTTTAGCAGGTGCTACCCAACAATTTTCTGAAATGGTCGTTCCAGTTTACACTTCTGCCAGCAGTGTATGAGACTTCAGTTGCTCCACATCCTCGCCAATGCTTGTTGTCGTTAGTTCTAGGTATCTCATTATGGTTTTACAGTGTTCTTGTCTCCAGTGATGTTGAGCACCATTTTATATGTTTATTGGCTATGTGAAGATCCTCTTATGTGACGTGCCTGTTAGATATTTTTCCCATTTTTTTTTACATTGTGTGTCTTTTTCCCCCCAAATTGTAATAATTGTTTGTGTATTATGGATATAAGTCTTTTGTCAGATATACGTGTATATGAAATATCTTCTCCCAGTATGTGGCTTGCTTTTTCACTCTTTTAATGGTGTCCTTTGATAAACAGAATTTCTTATTTTTAATGAAGTCCAGTATATCACGTTTGTTTGTTTGTTTTTTAATGGTTAATGTTTGCCTTGTGTAAGAAATCTTTGTTTACTCCAAGGTCATGAAGATAGTCTTCCATGTTTTCCTCCAGAGGGTTTATTGTTTCAGCTTTCACATTTAGTTCTGTGATTCATCTAAAATTAAGGGTGTGAGATATGGGTCAATGTTCTTTTTTCCTCCATATGGATATCCAGTTTAGTCAGGACCATTGAAAAGTGTTATCTTTTCACTACTAAATGACGTTGTTTACTTTGTCATGTATTAGGTGACTATATATGTCTGGGTCTATTTTAAAACTCTTCATTTAGTTCTTTTAGTCTAGTTGTCTGTTTTTGTACCAGCATTCCATGGCACGCACTGTTGGTGGGGAAATAAAATAATTTTTACAACATAATATAAAGGGCTTTCTCCAAGATAATTTAAAAATGTATCAATAAGATAATTGACAATTTTTTTTGGCACTTGGTTCATAGGTTCCCTCAATCCCATGCTCTATGGTAAGACCCCTTCCTGTAGAACTCTTTTTCTGAAATATGTGGCTGAGCTTCTATTCCAGGGCTTGACAACTTTAAATAGCCTTCTTTTCAGGCCTGTCTTGAGCTATGTGCACCAGGTTGTTCTAGATTCTAACCTTTCCCAATAAGCAGTATTTTCCTATGCCTCTCTAACCTCACTACCTCTGTATAGGAATGGGGAGGGGGAGAGAGTGTCATCGGCAGATCTGAGAGCTTTGTGCTGGGGTAGCGGCTGAAGAGACAAGATTGAAGAGTTGGGGCAAAAACAGAATTGGGAAATGTCAGCTCAAGTAATCACCCAAATAAATACAAAATGAGGAGGGGCTTAGAGCTAAGGGGACAGCCATATCCATGGGTCCGTTCTCCCTCCATTTACATACTTTTTGCTCAGGCCCAAGGCCCAGTTCTGTACAGCAGGTTCACTGTCTGTGTGGAGGTCACATATATTTGGAAGCTCATCGTAGAGACATACTTGGTTCTAACTGGAAAGTGTGCTGACTTCTGGCTGTCTGCCTTTAATCCTGCATCTTTCTCCTCCACACTTTCCACATTACACACATAGACCCCTCTGGCACATCAGCAACCCAGTACTAAATACATATGCAGATGCCTTTCTCAGGCCTTTCATTGACAGTCTTGACCATCACCAAAGTCCTGAGACCTGGGAGAGCAGGAACTTGTCATTTCAGGAATCAGTGACTTTTGAGGATGTGGCTGTGTACTTCACCCAGAAGGAATGGGCTAGTCTGATGCCTGCTCAGAAGGCCTTGTACAGGGATGTGATGCTGGAAAACTATGAGGCTGTGGCCTTCCTAGGTAAGACCTCTCTGCTGCTAGTCTCTGCCTGGGCCCTCTGAGGTTGAAGGGGTCTCTTGTAACTATTAGCTGAACCCACATGGCAACCTCAGGTTGCCAGGTATGGAGAGCCCTGGGGTCTCTTTGACCTCCAAGAGGGCTTTCCTTGTTTTTCCACCATAAAAACAGCCCTCTCTTCCCACTTGGCCTCAGAGGTGATCCTCTGGGTACAGCAGAATTTGAGCTATATCTTGGTACCCACCCTCAACCTAGTATTGAACCCTCCAAATTATCTTGAGAGAACCCTGCCCTTTCGTCTCCTGGGAGTTCTCCTAGGAACCACGTGTCTGTTTCCCTACAATGGGAATTTTCCATCCTCTAACAATGAAGGTAAGAAATCTTGTTTCCCTTTAAAAAGAAATTTGCCTCCCAGTGTGTCTCAAGCTTCTTCCTAGAATCCCTGTACCTCTTGAGAATACTTCTTGCCCAGTCCACCCAGAAATTACTCTCCTCACCTCCTCTGCCTGTTCTTGTATCTATAGGCTGAAACCAGCATCTGTGACTTTGCTTATCATTGTGTTTTGTTTTCTTCCCTTCAAGCAGCACCAGCCACTTCCAAACCAGCTCTGATCTCTCAGCTGGAGCAAGGGGTAGAGCCAAGCTTCAGCCAGGCACAGGGAGACCTAAGCATGAGGGACAGGGGAGCGGGCCTCACAGGTGAGTTAGACAAAGGGTAACCTCTCTAGCTTGGTCTCTTCCTTTGCCTTATTTCATCAAAGCGAAAGACATGTATTCTCAATGTGCAGCATCATGGAGTACATTGGGATCCTTGATCACACTCTTTTTGACTGGTCTGCTACTCATTGCTTCCCATCTCTTTAAATTGTAGTACACAACACCCTGCTTTGATATTTCACACACTGAGATGCTTTTATCCCTGGAGATATGTGGAAAAAAAATTTCTAAATACTTTACTGGGTATGTGTGATCACTTTTATCCAATTTCCCCCCATTTTACAAAATTGATAAACTCAGTGCAATATTATCTTGTCCACTACCCTATAGACCAACTAGAAAAATTTGCTTTACATGATAATAAGTATATTAAATTTTAAAGCAATTTTTTATATTGAAATACTTTAATGTAGCTTACAAATATTATGATTTTCCTCCCCTTTAGGATATATCTCAAAACTAAGAAGATTTAGCTACTTAGCCAAAATAACATTATCACAGACAATAAAACTTAAAATTCCTCAGAATCATCAGTGTTGGGAAGACAGGACAAAGGCTTAGTTCTTTTACCTCTAAATGCCAGTTTTCAAAGTAAGGATTTATAAGGCACCTGTCAATGCATTTTATTTTTCTGTTAACTCGTGAATTTCCATGGATTTAATGTTTTTCAACCATTAAAATTATTCATCTTGATGTGCAAAGCAGACTCTCATGTCTTTTTTTTTTAACGGCCACACTGAGATATAACTTACAAACAATACAATTCACCATTTAAAGTATACCATTCAGTGGTATTTAGTATATTTACAGAATTGTGCAAGCATCACATAATCAAGGTTTAGAACATTTTTGTCACCCAGAAGAGAAACTTTGTATCCACTGTGGTCATTCCCCATTTCCCCTACATGCTCAGTTTTAGGTAACCATTCATCTACTTTGTTTCTATAGATTTGCTTGCTGTGGATGTTTGATATAAATGGGGTCATACAATATGTTGTCTTTTGCAACTGGCTTTCACTTAGCATAGTGTTTTCAAGATTCATCAGTTTTGTAGAATGTATCATATTTCGTTCCTTTTTATGGCTGAATTATATTACATTGGAGGGATATACCACATTTTGTTTCTCCATTCATCAGTTGATGGATATTTGATTGGTGTCCACTGTTTAGGCATGATGAATAATGGTGCTGTGAACATTCATCTACAAGTTTTATTGTGGGCATATATTTTCTTTTCTCTTGGGTACATATTCTAGATCTGTACTTGCTGAGTCATATGGCAACTCTATGTTTAACATTTTGAGGAAATGCCAAAATTTTTTCCAAAACAGTTGAACCATTTTACATACCCACTAGCAATGTATGAGGGTTCCAATTTGTCCAAATCCTCACTGCCTTAGGCTGGGTTCTCTAGAGAAGCAAAACCAGTGAGACGTATATATATAAAGATAGAGATTTATCTCAAGGAAATGGCTCATGCGATTGTAGAGGTTGGCAAGTCCCAAGCCCGAGGGTCAGGTGTCACGCTGGGGGCTTCTCCTGACTCACGTAGCTGCAGGGGCTGACAAACCCAAGATCGTTGGCTCCTAGGATGTGAAAGCTGACAGATTCAAGATCGGCAGGTAAGACGACAGGCTGCTGAATCACAGGCTGTGGAGGCTGACTAATCCCAAGATTGGTAGGTGTCAAGGATTGAATTGTGTCCCCCAAAAATATGTGTCAACTTGGCTAGGCCATGATTCCCAGTATTGTCCACCATTTTGTCATCTGCTGTGATTTTCCTATGTGTTGTAAATCCTACCTCTATGACGTTAATGAGGCAGGATTATAGGCAGTTATGTTAATGAGGCAGGACTCAATCTAGAAGATTAGGTGGTGTCTTAAATCAATCTCTTTTGAGATATAAAAGATAGAAGTGAGCAGAGAGACAGGGGGACCTCATACCACCAAGAAACAAGAGCCAGGAGAATAGTGTGTCCTTTGGACGTGGGGTCCCTGCACTGAGAACCTCCTCGACTGGGGAAGATTGATGACAAGGAGTTTTCCCTAGAGCCAACAGAGAGAGAAAGCCTTCCCCTGGAGCTGGCACCCTGAATTCAAACTTCTAGCCTCCTAGACTGTGAGAGAATATATTTCTCTTTGTTAAAGCTATCCACTTATGGTATTTCTGTTATAGCAGCACTAGATGACTAAGATAGTAGGTAAGACGGAAGGCTGCTGGCTTAAGTCCTAAAAACCAGAGGTCAGATGAAGATGAGTCAGATGCAGGATCCAGAGCAGCATCCAGAGCAAGCAAGTGAGCTTTGCCAGACTGTCCATATATATATTGAATGCTGGCCACACCCCCGAGGAGACTTCCCCTACAACTAATTGGCTGATCACATCATGGAGGATGATTACATCATTACATAACTGCCAAACTACATCATTACATAACTGCCAACCTACATCATTACATAACTGCCAAACCACTGAGAATTATAGCCCAGTCAAGTTGACACACAACATTAACTATACAGTCCACCCTTTGTCCCCTTGGCACCTGTACACATCTCCTTAAACCATACACAATCTCTAAATGAAGACAATTACAAAGTCATACGTGTGCCTAACATGATACAACTAGCGTGTACAACCAAAAACGCACTAGCCCCATTTACATCTTATATTTTATAAGTGAAAAATACAAAAATATTTAATGTGCATGTACAAGGAAGAAATACTCATAACAATTACAGTCCTTATTTCTGCAGTTGGTCACGTGGTCATAACTGGTATTTAGAACTACCTTCTTCTACCACCCATTCTGTATTCCCTTTACCCTCAGCAAGCACCTCAGCTAGTTGCGGTTCTTTGCCTGGTGGAGTGACCCAACCTTCATTCCTGAAGGGTCTGGGCTATTAGTACTCATATCAGAATTGGGTTGTTGTAGTTTTCCATTGACTTTAATCAGAGGGCATTGTAGTACTAAGAGATGCCCTAAGGGATCTCTGTATTCTAGACTACTATTTTTTACCTCTGTTATGCAACATCAATCCAATTTCCACTTGGTAGTCAAGATCAGTCACACCAGCCAATATGGTAACTCCCTTCTTTTCCTGTTGATCCAGAAGCATGAGGAGCCCAAAGTGGCTGAGTAGCATTCTTAACTTCCAGTTCAGTGGAATCAGTGTGGTGTCTTCAGGTGGGAGCATTCCTACCTTTGGAATTAAGACCTCTAGACCCTCAGATCATAGGGTCACAGGGACAGGAAGCAAAAATTTTGTGAGTGGGTTATTGGGGGTAATAGTGAGTGGTGCCACTCTCATATCCACCTCTTGATTCCTGGAACTGTGAATCCTGGCTATGGGAGAAACAGCACCATATATTGGATGCTGGTTTACAGCATATGCAACCTCCTGGAGAACATTTCCCTAACCCTGCAAAGTGTTGCCACCTAGCTGGTGCTGTAATTGTGTCTTTAGAAGGCCATTCCATCATCCTGTCAAGCCAGCTGCTTCAGGATGATGGGGAACATGGTAAGACCAGTGAATTCCATGAGCATGGGCCCACTGCCACACTTCATTTGCTGTGAAGTGAGTCCCTTGATCTGAGGCAATGCTGTGTGGGATACCATGATGGTGGATAAGGCATTTTGTGAGTCCACGGATGGTAGTTTTGGCAGAAGCAGTGTGTGCAGGGAAGGCAAATCCATATCCAGAGTAAGTGTCTGTCTCAGTAAGAATGAAACGCTGCTCTTTCCATGATAGAAGGGGTCTAATGTAGTCAATCTGCCATCATGTTGCTGGCTGATCACCTCGAGGGATGGTGCCATATCAGGGACTCACTGTTGGTCTTTTTTGCTGGTGGATTGGGCATTCAGCAGTGGCCGTAGTCAAGTCAGCCTTGGTGAGGAAGTCCATGTTGCTGAGCCCATGCATAGCCTCCATCCCTGCTACCATGGCCACTTTGTTCATGAGCCCATTGGGCAATGACAGGAGTGAATGGGGAAAGAGGATGACTGATTTCCACAGAATATGTCATCCTATCCACTTGACTGTTAAACTCCTCCTCTGCTGAGCTCAACCTTTGGTGAGCATTCACATGAGACACAAGTATCTTCTCTGGCCCGTTCAGAGAGGTCTATCTAGGTACCTCTTCCCCATACCTCCTTGTCACCAATTTTTCAATCATGTTCCTTCCAAGTCCCTGACCATCCAGCTAAACCATTGGCCACAGCCCATGAATCAGTATACAATCGCACATCTGGCCATTTCTCCTTCCAATCAAAGGAACAACTAAGTGCACTGCTTGAACTTCTGCCCATTGGGAAGATTTTCCTTCACTACTGTCCTTCAGAGAGATCCCAGAAAGGGGCTGCAGTGCTGCAGCTGTCCACTTTCAAGTGGTGCCTACACGTCACACAGAACCGTCTTCAAACTAGGCATGATTTTTTTTCTCCTCAGTCAAGTGATCATAAGGAACTCCCCATGAGACCATACGTGCAGACTGGGAGACGGCAGGTAATGTGACAAGAGTGGAGACCATGGACATTTGGGTCACTTCCTCATACAACTAACTTGTGCCTTCAGGTCCTGCTCGAGCCTGATCTCATATATACCACTTCCATTTAATGATGGAGTGCTTCTGTGCACATCTGACTTTATGACTATGTGGGTCAGACAACACCCAGTTTATGATGGGCAGCTCAGCCCACATGGTTACTTGGTGGCCCATGGTTAAACTTTCAGTCTCCACTAAGGCCCAGTAACAAGCCAAAAGCTGTTTATTAAAAGGAGAGTAGTTATCTGCAGAGGATGGCACGGCTGTACTCCAAAATCCTAAGGGTCTGTGCTGTGATTCACCAATAGGGGCCTGCCAGAGACTCCAGACGGCATCTCTATCTGCCACTGACACTTCAGGCACTACAGATCAGCTAGATCATATGACCTAAGTGGCAGAATGGCTTGCACATTCTGAACCTATTGCAGAGCCTTCTCTTGTTCTGGGCACCACTCAAAACCAGCAACTTTTTGAGTCACTTAATGAATAGGCCGGAGTAGCATATCCAAATGAGAAATATGTTGCCTCCAAAATCCAAAGAGGGCCATCAGGCACTGTACCTCCTTTTTAGTTGTAGGAGGGGCCAGATGTAACAACTTAACTTTAGAAGGAATATCTCAACATGGCCTACACCACTGGACTCCTAGAAATTTCACTGAGGTGGAAAACACCTGAATTTTGGTGGGATTAATTTCCCACCCTCTAGCATGCAAATGTTTTACCAATAAGTCCAGAGTCATTGACACTTCTTCCTTACTAGGTCCAATCAGCATAACATCATCAATGTAATAGACCAGTGTGACATCTTGTGGAAGGGAAAGGCAATCAAGTTCTCTGGGGTCTAAATTATGACATAGGGCTGGAAAGTTGATATACCCCTGAGGTAGGACAGCGTAGTTGTATTGCTGGCCTTGCCAGATGAAGGCAAACTGCTTCTGGTGTTCCTTCAAAACTGGAATCAAGAAAGACATTTAGGCCAGCTCAATAGCTGCATACTAGGTACCAGGAGATGTATTAAT